GATAGCAGAGACGACACCACACAGTTAACAAACTCCGTGCCGTTGTCACATCGAATTACGCTTGGTGGGCCAAACCGGGTGCAAATACCAACAAGCGCCTCCGCGACACTGACACCATCATGGCGGGCTAGGGGTACGACTTCCACCCACCGTGTGAACATGTCCACACACACGAGGACACAATGGTAGGAACTACTGCGGCTGGGCCCCAGCTCTAACGTATCAATCTGGATGACTTCCCACGGCCTGGTTGGTAGGTCGCTTCTCGCTGCCGGAGGGTTGGGCTCTCCTCGCGACGGGTTCGCTGCACGGCACGTCCCGCAGTCTCGGACGACTTCCTGGCAGCGGTGCGCTATCTGTGGGAAATGACAGCACTTCCGAAGACTGCCCCACATGGTCTCCCAGTTACCATGTCCGGTGTTGCGGTGAGCAGCACCGACGGCTTCACTCTGCAGTGCAGTAGGCAGGACCGGTACGATCACATCACCATCGACGGGGTCCACACGACTGAGGTACAGGACGCCATCAATAACACGCAGCTGACCCTTCGATTTCTTGTACAGCTGGCTCATCACTTGCTTCCCATCCTGTAGCTGTGTCACTGTCAGCTGCACGTCCGCATCTACTGCTTGGCACCCGCGGATAGACTGTATCGACGTTGGCCCCTTCATAGAGCTTGCTGGTAGCGCTGCTGCGATTTCACTTGCTTCCTCCCGACAGGGAGGCCATGAGGTCGGCACGCGGGTGAGCCGATCTGCAACGTTCGACTCCGAGGGGACCCACTCCACGGACACCGTCATGCCAGCAGCAGCCACAGTGTCCTGAAACACCTGCAGGCGGAGACGGACGAGAGACTCGTGGAGACCCCCGACCTTCACGCGATGAGTATTCTGCGAGACCGAGCGCAGCCACCCAGCAACCGTCTTCGAGTCGGTCACGATGGTCAGGTTCTTGACGTCCCACCGGATGGCCATATCCAGCGCCTTCAGAGACGACTCGAGCTCCGCCACATTGATATGACGCTGGTCTGCTTTGTCTCGCAACCATGAACCATCCTCGACAACCTTGCCATCCTGCGTCAGCACCGCGGCAATTGCCAGGTTGGATGCGTCACAATACGCTCGCCACGTACCCATCGTTGGGTCAGCGTACCACACTCCGCTAACGGGATCATCATTGCACAGGCGGTGAACAATGTCGCGGCAACACTTCAAGACAGCTTCCGGTACAGCCTGATCCCATGCCACCTCTGACGTGCAGGCAAGGCGCTTGACATACGAACACGATGGGCGCAGCCAGGCACACACAGGGTAGTGCCCAATCACTCTGCCACACCAACTAAACAGTTCACGCTTCGTTGGTTTGTCGGGTAGCTGTAGAGACACACCTTCGCGACGCGTCCACGACACACTCCCCTCGTCATCAGCCTGAAGTTGCAGACCTAGCACACGCGCACTCACGGCTGGCTCAGCCGGTTTGGTTGGCAGGCCATACTCCAGGAGCCGCGACTTGGTGCGGTCGACGAGCTGCTCTGGGACGTAGAGATCATCCACGTAGTTGTCTACGCCAGCGAGATCACGCGTGGCCCACTTCACGATCAAGTCCATTGCCTTTGGAGCCACGGACAGCCCGAAGCCCATCCGCTCCAGGACGTACACTTCGCCACGCCACACCACGCACTGATAACGCCACAAATCGGGATGAATGCGTACCTGTAGGTACGCTTTGCTGATATCCAGCAGCTGATACGCTTGCGGAACGCCCGCTTGACGCCACCTCCGTAGTGTCTCGCCACATGCCGGAGCGTCGGTGCCAGGGTGCGACCTCAGCTTCTGGTTGAGGAGCCTGTAGTCGAGGCAGGGCCGAACTGGCGTTGATGCCCTATGCTCCTGCGTAGCAGCAAGCAGAGGCAGCACACATCTCGGCTCACCATGCTTCTCGACGTCATGCTTCACTAGCCAGCCGTTGCCGAGCCATTTTTCAACCTCATCTCCAAATAGCTGTTCCTGCTCCTTGGAGAGCTTGGATCGTGGGTACTCTCCAAGGCCTGACCTGATGCACGTAGTCGGCTCCGTCTTGTCCGCCCATTGCCACCGCACCTTTCACGCCTTGTCAGCCGTACTCCACCGGAGGATCATATCTGATGCCCACAGCACAACATCGCCATTGCTGAGCTTCTCCACGTCCGCGTGGTGAAAGTCTTCAGCGACGGCTCGTGCTTCCGACTCGGGGCGTGATGGATGCTCATCTGGGGTGCTCGACGCCAGTACCAATGGGCATGCAGCATTGACGGTCCCGAATACAACCCCCACCAGTTCTCCTGCGTCATACTGCATATGCACACCACCCAGAGTCTCGATGCTGTTAACTCCAATCAGCACATCAGCCTCCACGACAGACAGGTCGTCCACCACCAGCATGTCAGTCTCGGTCTCACGTAGGCGAACCACAGCACTATCCAGCCGTGAGATTGTACACTCCACGACGCCACGGACATCCACCGGACTGCCATCGATCGCATTAATTGTCGATGACGTAGGCCTGATATCCAAAGCTAGGTCGGTTGCCAGGGCGCTAGCTACAAGGGAGCGGGATGCACATGTGTCCACAGCAGCTACTACACGCTTGCTTGGACCGCCGGACCATTTGATGTCCACAAAGATCCGTGGCAGACTGTCACCTCCACTGCTCAGGCATAACACCTTGGAGTCACCATGATCACCAGAGTGCACAGGAGCAGCGGCTGCACTCCCACCCCGCTGCTTCTTCTGCTTGAAGGCCTTGAACTCCGCACAATCTCTCATCATATGCCCAGCCTCGTCGCAGAATAAACACGTCAGCTGACTGTGTTTGGCTTGCTTGTGGCTACCGGTGCCACTACTCGTGCTCGCAGGGCAGTTCCGCTTAAAGTAGCCAACTTGACCACACTTGTAACACAGGACACGTCTTGCGGAGTCGCGACCTGCACCTGCTGCAGCGGTCATCCTGGAAGAGCCTGATGGAGCCCGATCGTCTAGAGCACCGTAGCTCACTGCTGCCACACCGGGCTTCATCGATCGCTCCACGCTTCTAAGCCGCCTGACGTACTCCACGCAATCGTCGATGGTGTCCGTTTTTCCACTCATACGGAGCTCCTTCGCAAACTGAGAGGGGAGCCCGGAAAGAAACTGCCCGATCACTATATTATTCTTCCCGTCAGCATCAACCTGCTCACCAGACAAGGTGAGAAGCATCTTCAAGTCCGCTGCGAAGTTGTCCACCGACTCGTCTCCCCGCAAGATCCTGGACGTAAACATCGAGTATGCTTGATCCGGTGCCATCCCAAAAGCGGCGGTCAGCTTTGCTTTCACATCGGCCGGCTTCTTCTGATCCGCTGCCGCCATCTCGTTCCACACGGTGAACGCCTCACCCTCGAGATAGAGCGGTAGATTCGCCATCTTCTTTTCGTCCGAGTCCCACTTCTGCAAGTCCGCGACAACTGAGAACTTCGCCCAGAATTTGCTCAGGTCGTCCCGACCCCCGCGGAACGGTCTCAAGAAGCATTCGACTTTGGCCATCTCGCACTGCTACCCAATTCGCCCGACTAATCCGAGTTACAACACAAACTCCTGAGTCCCGGGTTTCGGCACCAAAAAGTGCTGTAACCGAATGGCGCCTAGTAGCATGCACTATGATCCGACACACCGCCAAAGACAACAACCGACCGTTCCTTCTTCCTTCTAAGATTCTGTTGAGTAAGAAAAGTGTACGGTATTATATGTGACCAAAAAGATACAGTGAAAGAAAAGCCTAGCAAAGCATTGCAAGGCACGTTGGTTCGGCTGCGTTGGTTCAGCTGCACGCTAGTGCAAACATGCAGATCGACAATGTTGGGCGGAAACCAAACACCACAACATTTCCAGAAACTAACTTGTTCACACCTACATACAATCATGAGTCCATACCGTGTCTGGTCTGGTTTGTTATGTTAGCAACCTAGAATGCATTGAACACATGGATTCGATCACATTTGTCAATACTATAAGTACAGAATTAGCACTCCCCAGCTACTGGTATGTGAATGCATAGCTCATACCGTACTGCCATGTGTGCTATAGTGGCTTACCAGCAATGCAACCGATGGTAAGCTGTGCAGCATCTCATCACTGGCCAGCAGTGGAGAGAGGTAGGCCGGCGAAGCATTCAGGATGGTGGCATGACGTTGGTGGATGCCCGACTGCAGCTGTGACAGGTGACCGGTGTTCGGGTGATACTCTGGCGTGCTGGACAGGACAAGAGAAGAACACCATGAACTGGTACTCACAGAGCAATCAGCGTTGCGGAGTACATCCACAGCATAGCTAGCAGTGCGAGCACAGAGAGACCGAGAGAGTGGATTCCGATGACTTTAAGGAGACTATCAAGGGCAAAGGCAAGTCACACGGTCCACGGCCACCAAACACCTGCCTCTAGTCACAGAGCTCTCTGTCCTCATCCATCACCAACGTTGCATCAGATAAAGAAAGCAGGACAAAGGAAGCGACGCAGTTTTGTTTCAATTGCAGGTGATGAAAATCAAAGCTTGAGGTGATGTGCACACAGCTACCCAGAAAGTGACAAAACCATACAATGCTGCTCAATGAAATCCGGTTGTGCACAGCATACACAGCTACCCAGAAAGTGACAAAATCACAGCTAACCAGACAGTGACAAAGTCACAGCAAAGCACTTTAAAGTACAGTGCTGCTCAATGAAATCCGGTCACGTGAGTCAAGTTTGCGCCTTGCACCATTTCGCAGCCCAATGTTCGCAGGTCTAGGGCTGCGCAACGCCCGGCACGTACTTGAGTGACGCGACTGGATGTCATGGAGCAGCAATGTACTATTGTATATGGGGCCAAATGAAAACCTGGTGCACATCCGTGTTACACACATGATACAGTATCTTTTTATTGGCTAGGGCAGCGGAGAAATGGATGGAGCATGGCAGCAAAGCACACCCATTTGTTTCCAATGACCTACCACATGTGACTGTGACGTTTGCGCCAGAAACCCTCCACCATGGAAGTAAATGATGACTGCCTTAGAAGGCTCAGAGCTGGCACTCTGCAGCAAAAAGAGAGTGTTGAGCATGGTACAGAACAAATCGTCAACGTCAACCGCACATGGCATGCTAAAACTTTTTTTTTTTTTGAAACTCGGATGTTTTTTCTTCTTTTTTTCTCTACAAAATCCACATTATCTCCAGACACTGGGGTGAATAATGGAGTATGCATGTGGTGGTGGGGCCCATTAAGCTCAGCCGACCAGAGGTCTCGGCTTTATAGCTCCATGGACGCACCAAAGGGGGATCGGGTAGGAGTATTCAAAAGACCACGGACAGCTATTGTACTCTACGGTCGCAGAGCACACATACAAATGTCACCTTACTTCTCACAGTGACTTACATGAAGGCCGAGGCACCGTCCATAGAAGCTTCTCCGCTCCATACTCTCAGCAGTGTCCAGAAAGTCGTCCGGAAACTGAGTATGATCAACGATCAGGTCGCCAGTCTTGTCCACTTGCACGACAGCGTAGATGACTAAAAAAGCTGCGCGTGATCCCTGAGCAGCTCTGAATGTTCTTCAAGTGCTGACACAGCCTGTGCGAAATCTCTCTTAGTATTCGATGACGGAAGCAGTGACTTGATGTCATCAAGCACCAATGTACACGTGGAGAATATGGATACACTAGATCGCAGTCCGTTGCTGGCTACACCCGGGTAAGCATTGTAGCGGGAACATTGCTGCAGCAAGTAAGGGATGGTGCTGAGCAACGACCCGATCGCAGCGCACAGCATATGACAAGCGGAAGCCAATCGGGACCTCTGCTCCGGGCTCAGTGCTCCGCCACCGTTGCTGCGCTGTTCCTGCTAGCATGCTGGAGACGCTGCACTTGCGCTAGCAGCCCTTGCAACGCTGCGGTTGTGACACGTGGTGGAGCGGAATAGTGACGCGCTGCACTGCGTGAGCAGTGGGCATTGCCAGTGACGGTGTGTCACCAGCGACGCAGTGTACTCGCCACTACCTGTGTCCGCTACACTCACCAAGTTCCTGGTACTGACAACAGCTACTGAGCAGGGAGCACCGGTATGCTGTTTAACCACACAGCTACACGGTGCAGCTGGGCAAGACGCCGAACTGATACAGTGGGAGCGAGAAAGCAGCCGCTGTGTAGCAACGACAGGTCGAGTGGCGTTACGTGCTACTGTTGATGCCGCCATAACAAGAAGCTAAGCAATAAGAGTCCCTTGCCAGGGCAGGCAGTCCAATTGGTTTCAAAGGTCAGGCAAAATCACAAGTCCTGCGGAGCACGTACACGAACACATGTTCAAAGCGCATGCAAGGCAATTGCAAGCGCATACACACACAAAACAGTTGTGCACGGCACATTCAAAGTACACACTGCTCACACATGAAGACACATAAGCACATATGCGCGCGCACGCGCACACACACACCGACACACAAGCAAACAGAGAGACAGACACACACACAGATGAGACTCTGACCAAACACATGTACTAGTAAAAGACCGCATGCACAATGTCAATGTGATGCACACCTCCAAGACGGAATGGGCGCTTTCAATAGTACACATACTACTTCTGGTGCTTTGAAGATCCAGAAAACCCCAGTGTAACACCGGCTTTAGCCTACAGGTTTGTACACACTGTGGGTGACATTGCATACAAGTAGATCAGCACATCTAGTACGATTGTTCTTCCACTTCAAGAATCGTCCCTTCGTTTCACAGCACAGAATAGCTGTCTCTCAGCTGGTAATCAGTAGGGACATTCTCTACTTGCGAAGACTGAGTGATCGCCAGCACTCGCCCTTTCCTTCCACAAGCGATGTATAGAATAATAATATCACTGTTCGAGTATTTTTTTTCTTTCAAATCTGAGACCATTGACAGGATCGGAAGGAGAGCTCTACTGCAAGCCAGAAGTCAGGCTGGCGTCAGGCTGTCGTGAAAAGTAACGAATTCAAACCGCTCCTCAACAAAATCATTACAGTTAGCAAAGAAGCTAGTTCCAACCAATCCAAGTAGGGTGACTTTCAGGAACTAATCCAACGTCTTGTTCATTCAAAGACAGTGCTTTTTTCGCTTCTGCACTGACTCTGTCTTTGAGTTACGAGATGTATGCGCTCAGCCGCTCACCTGGGTCACGGCGAAGTGTCTCATTCGCTCTCCCTGCTCTCCGCAGCCTACAACGCTTTGCGCTGGTAGTCTGGTACATGGTGGCTGTCGCGTGCGCGCGCACTCCTGGTTGCGGTATTTTACGACTCCCTGCTAGTAAGTAACCTGCAGGCACGGCCCGGTGACCAGGTGACTGGTACATGTTGTTGTTGTTGTTGTTGTAGAAGTTTATTTAACGTCGCACCACAAACAGGCGATTTCGCCTCCTTTGATACAATCATGTGGACGACAGAAGGAATGAGAGAGAGAGAGGGGGGGGGGGGGGGGACAGAAGTATGGAGAGAGGAAGGGTAGAAATAAAATAAGCAATCAACCTCAGGGCTACACCAAAGCAAAAACGGAATGGGAACATACTATTATACAAAATAGCTTCATACATATATTGCAAAACACGGGCCACAGACAGGCTATGATCTCTGCCAACACACCAGCCTAATTATACTGACCGCACTCCAGCTCCCCTCTACCCCTTTTTGATCCACTTCGCTCAGCCTTAAAATCCGATTATCAGTTCACTCCATCTTTCTACGGTGCACTGCTTTTACTACTGTTTTGTCCTATCTCAATCTCAAATTCTCCCCATTATCGTTTGCAAAGCCGGTGCTTCCCTCTTGGATGCACATGTTTCTTTTCTCCTATGTATCGGCGCACAGGAGTAACGATGATCCCGAGACCTTTGGTCGGAGGAGTTACTTTTGCCCCGCCCCCACTTCCATCCAATATGCCACCGCCCCCACTGTGCAGCATCTGATGGTACTGTGGTATTCAGTAAAAAAATAAATAAATAAAAAACTCTTCTTCAGTCCGCTATCACAGAAACACACTAGTACATGGTGTACGCTAGGGCTGAAACGATCATTTACCGAATAATCGAGTACTCGTTTGATTACCGATTACGATTATTTTGCGTTTTTTAAATTTGTGTCCAGAAAGTACTGTAAACCCTCGTTTTGTGAAGTTTGAATCAGTTTCCGCCGGGAGTATGCAGTTGCCAGGGGTATGGTTCATGTTCTGAGGTTAAATTGACTTCGAAACGGCCATGTTTCGGAGCTACCCTTTCACTAATGCAGATTTGTTGGTATTATGAAGCCATAGTTTGTGGAAACAGAGTAATGTTTGCACAGAATTATGACTCTGTTTGCTAACGATTATAATCGATTACTCGATCGTTAAGCTAAAAAGTAATCGATACGTGAAAATCCCCGATCGTTTCAGCCCTAGTGTACGCAAAAGACAGGGAAGAGCACGCAAGCGCTGTGCCTGTCGCTCACCCGCCACTTTACGACACTCCCGCCGCGCAAGCTACGGCGGATAAAACTCTATCAACCCCATCGTGCTCCTCAACGCTCCGCTTTGGCGGAGGGAATGCAAATGCAGCACGCCATATGAAATTTTAGATGTTCTTGTCCGAGTTGAAGCGACGTTCGCTTGTACAAGTAGAGCTATCGTGGATCGCTGACAGGCCGCTGAATGTCTCCTGTCAAGTACACTCGTGGATTTGGGGCACATTCAATGCGGCCCAGTGCGGGTGTATTTGAATATTAGTTTAGTTTACATCAATATCAAATTGTTGTATAGCAGGGTGTCGTTGCCTCCTCCATGATCCATCATCGACCCCAGCGATTGCGTGGATGCCTGCCGTTGCAGTGAGGGTGTGGTAGAGTACTCTACTACTCCCTGGTTGCAGTCCTAGTGTTGCATACTCTGGTGGACGCATTGCTTGAAGAGAGACTGGAAGGAGAGAGTTGGAGATCATCCGCGATCGGGGCCCATGAGTTGGGAGACGGATTCTCTCACCAACTATCCACTCATAACGATGCAGTATCGTTTGCGAGATCTCCAGAACGTATAGTTCATTGGCAAAGAAGAACAATATGAAAACTAAATACCAAACGGCAACCAAACAACACCATAACCATGATAACTACTTGGTGCAGAAGTAGCACACCAAACTCCAAAGCCATCACCATGCAGGTTCCGCCAAAGAGGATCCGCGAAAGCGGAGGTTCCGCTCGCATTTTTTTGGCGTAGCGAAATCCAAACTTTCCGCCAAAGCGTAACTTACGCTTCCGCCGTTGCCGAGGCAACGGCGGAAGCGTAAGTTACGCTTTGGCGCATGGCGGAACTGCCAAAAAAAGTGCATGTGTGACCGGTGCCGGCGGTGGTGTTTCTCACCACTGCACCGGCACATGGTAACGCGAACGTGCAAGCTTTTGTTATCGGCACAGCCAGCTAGCTGCAGGGAGTCGTGAACTGGGCGCTGACCTGAACTAGCATAATGGCGGAGGGGCAATCTTCTGCCATGGCCCAACCAGGCGCGAGTATGGCTACAGCTGCAGAGATAGAGCCGCAACATTGCCTAACGCCGGGCAAGGACGAGCGAGTGACCGTGGCCGAGCCATCCGCTGAAACGGCCAGTCCCTTTCATTCCATATTTGCTCTGGCGGTCGGCTGCGGCCATTGCGACAAAGCAACGGGGAAATCTTATCAAGGAACGTGCTTCCTACTCAGCGATCTGAACAGTGCAGCTACCAAGGATTACATCATCTTCGCCACTGCCGCACATAATCTGGTCTGCAACGATTGCGGCGACTGGCTCTGGGTACGAATCTACAAAGATCTCTCCGCGCCTCCCCTGACCAGCGAAAAGATATCCCGCAAGAACGATCATGGCGGGTTGATCGTTCCTAACTGGTACAAGGAACACGCCACGGAGAAGACTAACGAGCTATTTCTACACGACTATGGGATAATAGCGGTCAAGACGAGCAAAGTTAGTCCGTTGGTGAAATGGGCAGATAAAAAGCTTGGCGTTGCACCTCAGTGCAAGAAGGAGGAAGGCGTCCGCATGTGCGGATACCCAGTCTACACCTGCTATGGTGGCATAGAAGAGACGGCCAAGGATTGCAAATACTGGGTTAAGGAGGACCGCCTTGCTACGTTTGCAAACCACGACCATCAGCTTCACTACTTTGTTGATGCTACCGGTGGGCAAAGTGGCTCGCCCGTCTTCCGTCTGCCCAAAGAAGACGAAGCTGAGACGGCCTCTGCTACTGGCTATGTTGTAGGGATTCACGTCGGCGGTGGTAAAAAGCATAATACCGCTGTGAAGCTCCGGGACGAGCGTAAATGCGACACAACGCCAATGGCGGACCTCCGAAAATGGGCGAATGATCCATCGAAATTCTTACCTGAAGAAAATGTTGCAGTTGCAGAAAATGTTGCAGTTGTTTGTTCCCAGAAATCAGGTAAGGGGCTGTCCGAGGTTACCGATTGTTTTGTCAAAGTGAAACGTGTTAAGTGTTATCAGCCCCAGCATACCTAGCCACTCTTCCTGCAGGTAAAAAAAGTCGAACAAAATATTCATTTCAATATTCGACGCCCAATAGTAGCTAGTAACAGTGGCCTGTCCCTAAGCACATAACATGTGTGTTGCTATGGTTACATGCTGGGCAATTCGGGCTGTCCAAGTCTCCACCCTGTCACTTGCGTTTCTTGGCCCGTTCTGCACTGGATGTTCTAGCATGAATTCAGAAGCTGTTCAGGGCTGCCAGGTCATGGCAGTCTATCTGAGTCTGACGTAAACCTTATTTTCCAAGCACTTTCGGTAGGCTGCTCTAGTGCGGCTGCATTGCGCATCGCTCGCTACATTCCGTAGTTAGAGCACTCTGGCGCTAGGACAACAAGCTAACTTAATGTCTGTGGTGCCACCTTTTCACCGTGGCTGGTAGCTCGGCTTACTTACAGCTCGTAGCTGGACTGACGGGGCCCTTATGGCCAAAACAGCTTGCTGTCTATAGCATTGGGTAGATGTAATGTGTGTGTGTGTGTGTGTGTGTGCGTGTGGGGGGGGGGGGGGCGCGTGTGTGTGTGTGTGTGTGTGTGTGTGTGTGCGTGTGTGTGTGTGTGTGTGTGCGCGTGTGGGTGTGCATAGTATTAAGGTGATGATGCAGATTTTAATGGGTGCACACAGCTTCGTACTACCGCTCAATCTATGCTGCTATGTGTGATAGTGCTGTTGCTGCATGCTGTGATGTTTTGGTGCGGGATACGATCACGTCGCGGCGACCATGTCTCCCAAACAACATAGTGCATGCACGCGTGATACTCTATGCGACTGGGCACTCTACTTGACATTGAACGTGATCCATGCGTGGCGCTCGCCTTCGATGTGGGCGGCGTGCGATGTGGCGCTCACCGTGGATTTTGTGTGTGGCGCTCAACGTGGGCGACATGCGACGTTCACTCGACGCGATATTCGACGTGAATTGCTAGAGCTCGCCTCCCTATTAATTTCAATCCGTTCTGTGTGCGAATCATTCTTGTATGCTCGTTAGTGTTTCGCCCTCCCACCTCCCGTTTCTCTTCACTCATTTACTTTGATAAAGTGGATAAAAGTGGTGTTTTCCACGCTCATTTCCGGCTACTCTGGGCCCTCGGTCGCCATCCCTCGGATGCAGACTCTTGTACATACTTGTCTCCGCCAAGACTCTGCTCCGGCAGTGTCCACCCATATCTCTCCGTAGCCTCTCACTCCGCTGGCCGGCACTCCCCGTACCGCAAGTTGCTGTGTGTTGCAGGTAATGTGTGTACATGTATGTGTGTATGTTCAAGTTGACAACTGTTGTGTGTGTGTGTGTGTGTGTGTGTGCGCGCGCGCGCGTGTGCATGTGTGTTTGTGTGTACGTGTGTGTGTGCACGCGCGCGCGCGCGCTGCACCTGTGTGTGTGTGCACGCGTATTCTGACATACGCGTATGTTTTGCTGTCCAGTCAAGCCCGGGGTCAGGCCGTCGGAACAGAACGGTTTGCATGGTGGTCGACCGCAACTAGTTATGTGAGTATTTGTGATACACGAAACAATAGCAGGCGGTCATGGTCTCAAGAATGCGAAGAAAAAACTCAAGTGACTTCAAAAAGATTGGGGGATCATTCACAACGTACTTACACACATACACACATACACACACATACACACGTACACACACACACACACACATACACACGTACACACACGTACACACACACACACACCATGTACCATGTATACGCCCGTCGCAAGAGAAGATCTGATTCTGAATGAAACAGATCAAGACAAGCGCCAGATAACTGTCTAATCCACACAACTGGCGAAGCCATGTGAATCGACCCCCAATGCATACCTGGTCTACACCTGACGGAGCACATCAGACGTTCGCAATACCGCTGCATGCCTGCTGACACGTGACCGCATCAGCGTACCATATGTGGTCACGTGTGTTGTACGTCACGGTAACCTCGCCCACCAAACAATAGTATAATAATTGGCGCAGGCGACATGAAGCTTCCTTCGACATGGCGTTCTACATCATGGTGTAGTGTCTCAGCTAGAGACGGGGTTCGGTTTATTCTATGATTGATTGCATGGAGACTAGAAGAAGACCAACTACAATTGCAAGTAAATTATGTCAACGGAACAAGAACAAGGAGACCCGTGTGCCAATTCAAAAAGGCAGACAGACAAAAATGATCTGCGCATGGTTTAACGTCAATACGATAATGATGACGTGAGAAATGTCCATGAGTGTATCATCAGCACATACACTACACATGGCATTCGACGTGTCACTCAACAAGGCAGGGGGGACGTTCTTCTTCCCTCCTTCGATCCGTTCTGTGTTCGACTAGTCTGGCCAGATCTCTGGGTTTTCACCCACCCACCTGACCTCCCACTTGCACATCACTCATGTACTTTGATTAAGTACGTAATGGGTGCTGGCTAGGCATAGCCCGATTTTGCTAGCAATTCTGCTAGCGTAATATCGAAGAATTTTGAAAGGGAATTTGCTGGCAAAACGGAGCGAAATATCGGTGCGTTCGCTGGAAATTGGGAGATTTTAAACTTACATGTATACAGTACATGTGACTCATTTTCGCACAGTTTTACCGACACGTGATTCACTTTTTCTCATTTTTGCCAACACTTGACCCGCTCTCGCCGAGTCTCGGTCAGTTTTCCCACACGTGACAAATATTTTGGAGCAAAAAGGAAGCAAAATATCGAGTGGCCTGGAAAAATGCAACGCAAAAATATCGACGATGAGCCAGCCAAATGTTGCGGCAGAATATCGAAGCTTCACTGGCAAAATCGGGCTTTGCCTAATGCTGGCCACTCCCAATTCCGGCTACTCAGAGCTGTGGTCTGTGTCTCTAGGACGTGACTACCGCTCTTGGGTCCGCCAAGATACCTGCTTCGGCAGTGAGTATCTGGCTGACCTGTTAATCTCTCTCCGTAGCCTCTCACTCCACTGGCCATCATTGCCCGTGCCGCCAGCAGCTGTGTGTTGTACCATAGTTGCCGGAGCATAGTGTGCACTTTGGAGGTACTTCCTCCGTTAACAAAAACTTCGTGATGGATTTTGATGGATAAGAAAACGCTTAGAACAGGTCAAGAACAGTTTGTATCGACTGCAAATCACTGGACAAAGGCGATTCAGCCTATGTACAGCGTCTTTACAAGAGAAACTGTTGGCGGAATGAGCATAGATAGAGTTCAGTTTGCGTCGCTTTCACTGGACTCATTTTTGACCCTGCGTCGCTGTCGTCATCTCTCAAGTCGTTGTTCAGGTTGTTTCAGCCTTGCCTCGGCTTCTTTGATCACACTCCGCTGATCTTGATGTCGCCGTCGTTCAAGTAAGTACTCAGTAATCCGCGATATGCGTGTTCAAACAAAATGGCGTCACGATTTATTGAAAGCGGTACAGTTGGTGGTACGAGTGTTCAAAACCATTTGAACTACTTCATACTGTTAATCTTCTTTTTGACATGCTCTCTTTCCATCGTCCTTAGCTGTTGTTTGTTGTGAGCTGTTGTGGCTTTCTCCTATACCTCTGGGGGATGCCAAGTGATGGTGTTGAGAGGCTGGTGATGGCTGTGAGCGCGAGTTTGCCGATCGGCGGCGTCCTCGCTATAGCGATGAAAATACTAGTTACTGCGCACCTGGCAGATATCACAACACGTCGGAGCGTCCAGGAGCAAACAAATCTTGGGTTTTCACTGGTATCTAGTTCCTCCAGCATCGTGTAGCCCACCGTTGGTGAATGGCTGTCCAGAAAGGTTGAACCTAGTCTTCTGCAGCCTCTCGCAGTCCTGCGAGGCACTCTGAGTACGCCTGCCATGTATTGTACAAATAAAACTCACGAAGTAGTGGACTCTGCAGTGATGAAGTCTATCCTGTATGCTGCAAAAGACGCAGGAAATGTGACGCTGTGTGAGGACCATCCCAAGTGCATGGAAACTTGAACTGACATGCACAAGCAGTCGCCCGTCACTTCTGTTTGTGTGTAGTCTGCCACTCAGGACTCAGCACTCTGGTGTTTGGATCACTACTGTATAAGCAGAAATATTCGTCTGCAATTTAATTGCGTCTTTTTCGTGCAATGAGCTTTTGGACTAAATTAAATGCCGGACTAGTGTCGATTTGTCCAGCTTTTCAATACACACACTCTTATGATCCATGGACGAAATTTACAACCGGACAAACTCCCTTTCTTTGGAGTTGGACGAAATTATTGACCGACGAAATTTTCTGCATGTCAAGTAGATCAAACTGCCTCTACTGGCCATGAATGCACGTAACATTTTCATGCATCTTCAACCTCTTCTTGATGCTGATTAAAAATGGGATGTTGAGCCAATAGTGTTACTTTAAAAAGAAAGAAGAAAGGGCCGATAAGTATACATCTCGTTACCCTGGTGGACTGTTAGTCATAACTCGTAACTTATAGGTACGTTCTCTTTTCTCCTTTGTGCATTCTACTTTCAGTAGCGGACCGGAGGAACCCAAGAAGATGTGTAAGCCTTGCAGCATTATGTGGTTCACTATGTCATGCTGAGCGCTATGCTAGAGCAATATTGATATATGGAGTGTGTGTTATTTTAGTTGAATCGATGTGTGTGTGTGTGTGTGTGTGCGTGCGTGCGCGTGTGTGTGTGTGTTTGTGTGGGTGGGTGTGTGGGTGTGTGTGTGTGTGTGTGGTGAGTGTGTGTGCGTGTGCGTGTGTGTGTGTGTGTGTGTGTGTGTGTGTGGTGTGTGTGTGTGTGCGTGCATACATGCGCGTTTGTGTGTGTGTGTGTGCGCGCGTGCGCGTGCTTGTGTGTGTGTGCGCGCAGATTGTTTTAGTAGTTTTTAGTACTGTCAGTATTACTCGCTCATGTAGTGGTTCATCTGACCAGCTACAACCTCCTAGCTGGCACAATTTGCCATTGCACACATTGCTAAATGTGCTGTAGACAGTACAGTGGTGAAACACGCCAGGGGCATTGGAAGGTATCCTACATTTGTATGCCTATGAAAAGACCCACGAAAAGGCTCTCCATCTGGGAAAGCCGAAAGGTTTTGATAAATTGTGCCAAAATAGCCTACTGTATATCAACGAATTTTGGCCGGTGAGAAACTTTGGCGGATCTCGAATTGAAACTTTTTCGGCCATCATCAAACTTTGGCCGATTGGGGTTTAGACAGAAACGATCGGTAGCTGTTGCTTTCACATGCAGCCATGCCTCTTTAATGCATGATTTCCCTTGGTGACAAACTTTGGCCTGCAACTTACTTTGGCCAGTTGGTACCAATCAGCGAAATGATATCGCCAGCGAAAATAAGTTGCTTTACAGTACAAGATTTCATTGCTCCAATAATCACTATTTAAACTTATTGTTTTGACTTTGGCCGCACCTGCCGCACCGGTTCCGATGCCCCTGCAAGCGGTCCAGCGTATCACTGCGGGGCCCGGCGATTCAGTTGTTAACCTGTTCAATGCACAGGCTTGTGTTCATCAGAAGCGGGCGCTTGCACGTTTGCAGAGCTGCATGATGGACAAAGTCCAGGCCAGGCCTGTTCCTAGTGTCGGATGTTAGGGCACTCAACTCTCTCCTACACCAGGAGGATGGGGAGGGGGGGGGGGGCTCTTGTACAGGCTAATCCTGCATGGCAGAGTTACTTGCTATCTCTACTCTGCCAGCAGATCCTGCGTTTCACCGTGTTGTCACCTAGCCATTCAGAACCTAATTTATTCTTCATATCGCGCTTTGGGAAACGCTTTGCAATGCGCCGTCGAAGCTTGATTCATTCTTCGTATCGCACTTGGGGAAACACTTTGCCGATATGCACTGCAACCACTGTGTGACGGCCGGTTATTAATAAGTCTAACTCCAGTGAGCTTTATCGTGAAGTTGTCATTATTCTGTGTTCAGTGCATCCTGCATGGCTGCTTGCATGCTCTTTTCATTGATGTTTATGCAGTCTATGATGACCCATTCGACCACCCCGACTATGTGGCGAAAATCGACGTGCCATTGAAAGATCTTGACGGTGTCGAGTTAAGGCAGAGGTTGCAGAAGAAGGGATTACTAACCAAGAGCCAAGTGAAGAGGTTGGAGAAGATGTCGAGCGAAACGCATAACAACGAGTTGATCGGGTGGATTCAGTCGTCACGTCGCCATGGATATGTTAAGCTGTGCGAGGTTATTCAGGAGTGGACAGTTGTTGACCCAGAACTGTTGAAAGACATGAACAACCTGCTGCAACCCGAGTGACGTGTGAAAAAGGTACGCAATCCCTGTCACGGTCCATTGGAAACGTGCTCCTATGTCTTTCTAGTACATTCTACATGCTCGGAACGCACGTGCGTTTGGAGCCGAGAGACTTTCTGAATCTCACTCCCTCGTGCACAGCCTGGTGTATATTATACAGATGTTTGAATCTGTGCGGCTCTCCCCTATCCAAAGCAACCGCTTTGTTTCCACTTGGTTGCGAGTTGTTGTTTCTCGCCAGTCTGTCCGCACATTACGCAATGCCAGTAGTAAAACAGTACATGAGTGGACACTGTTGACGGTCGAGAGGCTGGACGGCGTTGGGTATTGCAATAACTGTCTTTTTTTCGGCAAAAAGATTCATAGGGCTGGCCGTGTAATCGGCATTTTGACATGTTGCTTCTTGGAGACTATTCTGTTCTTCTGTCTGATAGCATTGTTGTGTCCTAGAAAACCGCTCATACGTATGTGTATAATTTGTTATCGCATAGAGGGTCAAGCCTTTGGCTTTGTGCGGTATCCCTGGTAACAGGGCATGCCTGAAATTGTCGTCTCAGTTGTCAATGAATGGGATTTTCGGTCTTTGACCTTTTTGCTGGTGAGCTGATCTCCTCACCTCCCACCTCCCACCGCTTCGGGAGCTGCATCTGCGCCTTGACCCTTGAAGGGTGGTGGTGTTCCTACGGATGCGGAAAACTCGGCCTCTAACAGTTAGCCGAGTCTGACTCGAACCGTGAATTAAAAAAAAGAAATTTGCCATGCAGTGTACAGTATACATTGTTGTGTTGTTCACGTCATGGCTGTCCCGCTCTAATACTCACTACACTGGTGGCGACTGAAATCCGACCCCAGCTCGGTGCACTCACATTGATTCCAAAAACAAACCAGCACACGTTTCTACACTGCCAAGAGACCACTACTGTGTGTTCAAAAGTATTGACCTCTGGTTTCAAAAAAGAACCTTGGGCCAGCATTTATACCACATAATCTGTGATCATTTTGTGCATAACAATTTTCCGAAAATGGACGTGTGTTATCCAATCGCCTAGAAAGTTAGTAGGTTTCAAATTCAAAAAGGGGCAGAGCTTACCACACAGGGCAGAACAACATAGACCAAAAATCCTTCTCGTGACTCCGATTTTCGTGTTTCAAAAAACACTCATCATTCGTCTGATGAGTGTTTTTTGAAACACGAAACTCGGAGTCACGAGAAGGATTTTTGGTCTCTGTTGTTCTGCCCTGTGTACGTTTAGTACAAGTAGTTATTGCTGCGTCTTGTTGTTTTCTTGTTTATGGACACAGGATGATGGTGATGATGGTGATGGTGGCCATGATTGATGAACACTGGATCGCGGCGAGAATTTGTTCTGTCTGTCTCTCTCTCTCTTCCTGTGAGTCCTTCTGTCTGTCTGCCGGTACGTCTTTCTGTCCGTTTTTCTGCTTCACCTCAGACTCTAGACTGAGCTCTCTCCTTCACTTTCTCTCACTCTCGCTTGCTCTTGCTCTCACCCAGTCTCTCGCTCCCACTCACTCATTAAGTCGCGATATTCTTCATTTGCCTCCTGCATTCGCTATCGTAAGCACTACTTCCTTTGAGTATGCCTTTCTTCTTCTTCTTCTTCTTCTTCTTCTTCTTCTTCTTCTTCTTCTTCTTCTTCTTCTTCTTCTTCTTCTTCTTCTTCTTCTTCTTCTTCTTCTTCTTCTTCTTCTTCTTCTTCTTCTTCTTCTTCTTCTTCTTCTTCTTCTTCTTCTTCTTCTTCTTCTTCTTCTTCTTCTTCTTCTTCTTCTTCTTCTTCTTCTTCTTCTTCTTCTTCTCGGCCTTTCAATTGCTACATGACGGGCTAGAGACTGCTCTCCTTTAGCTTCTACCTAGCTCCTTTTATTGGTACATGATCACAAAGTATTTTTTCACTCCTTAGCAGTGCAGCACCATGGGCCCCGCGTGCTGGGGCAAAGAGGCACGGAACCAGAATGCTGGATTTCCCCGCGCGTGCCCTTCGCTCCATGCACAGTACCTGACCCATGTGTAGAGTCTAGATAGATTGTCTGAGTTGTGTTGAATTGTCATTCAATTTCTTTTTATTCTCAAAAACATATTATCTCTACATTCTACCTCGGTGACTTAGAACCTCGCTTTAGGTCCGTATTTGACTATTTGAGCTTAGACACTGCTGGAAAAGCAGTGCACTAGTCCGACGTCATCATGTCGAATAGCGGAACTTTTTTTTAATTCTTTTCCGGTTGAACCGGTATGCTCATAGAATTATCAGCTTCTGCGCGGCCTCATTTCTGCCTATCCTTCTACATTTTGGCTGCCCTTTTTCACTTTTTGCAATGCTTTTTCAAAGGGCGACTTCTTTAATTTTTCTAAGGAAGTGCTGTTTTCACAGCAGCCATTTTCACAAATAATTGCTGTTGCCGGTTGAACCGGTATGCGTAATCACATTCTGCTCGTTTTTTATTCCTGCACTTGCTTTTCATTTTTACTGTTTCTTTGCCTTCGTACTTCTATTTTCAAAGCACCTTTTATTTCATTTTTCAAGGCACCGCAATTTCCAAAGCAGCCATTTATATATATGATTTTCTACTTTCCTAGCACTGCCACATGGTATCTTCAAACTGCAAATCTCTCACCCTAGATTCATTCATCTTGGGGAAAGGAGGGGATGTGACTCTCTCGTTTTCACGTGGACATTGAGATTGTTACAGTGGCCTGCATGTACCGTTCTTTTGCGCACGACACACAGTGACCCGGTTGAGAGGGTGTGTGTACAGCATGGTGATTAGTGACCCGGTTGAGAGGGTGTGTGTACAGCATGGTGATTAGTGACCTGGTTGAGAGGGTGTGTGTACAGCATGGTGATTAGTGACCCGGTTGAGAGGGTGTGTGTACAGCATGGTGATTAGTGACCCGGTTGAGAGGGTGTGTGTACAGCATGGTGATTAGTGACCTGGTTGAGAGGGTGTGTGTACAGCATGGTGATTAGTGACCCAGTTGAGAGGGTGTGTGTACAGCATGGTGATTAGTGACCCGGTTGAGAGGGTGTGTGTACAGCATGGTGATTAGTGACCTGGTTGAGAGGGTGTGTGCACAGCATGGTGATTAGTGACCTGGTTGAGAGGGTGTGTGTACAGCATGGTGATTAGTGACCCGGTTGAGACGGTGTGTGTACAGCATGGTGATTAGTGACCCGGTTGAGAGGGTGTGTGTACAGCATGGTGATTAGTGACCTGGTTGAGACGGTGTGTGTACAGCATGGTGATTAGTGACCTGGTTGAGACGGTGTGTGTACAGCATGGTGATTAGTTGTTGTTGTTGTTGTTGAAATTTTATTTTGTATCGCAGACCAAACGGGCAATGGTGCCCAATATTATGATGGCGATAAAGTAACGGCCGAGAGCCAAGGATACAACAAGCAAGCCTCCACGAAAGAGAGAAAAACACAGAAAACACAGACTGCAAATACTCAAAAAGAAAAAAGAGAAAGGGAAAAAAAAGAAAAATAAAGAAGAAGAAAGCACAGTTGAGTCACAGTTGAGTCACGACTCGAAGTCCAAGCCTAGATGCTGGCTAACCATAAAAATAAACCTTTAAAAGTCTCTTGAATGATCTATGGCAGGCGAGGGACTTGAACTCTTGGGGCAGGGCGTTCCATAATTTAACAGCAGAAACGAGCGGCCGACAGTCACCAGAGACTCGCCTGGTGGCAGGGACAACATACGCATTTGGATCGTTGATCCGAGTGACGCCTTCAGTCTGGCGACGTAGGCGCTTGGACAGGAGATTACTAATTCTGGCGGTGTGGATACGAAGCATGAGGAGGCGGAGTTTACAGTGGGCGTTTTGGATGATGGGGATGAGGCCTAGACGGGTGTAGATGGGATCTGTGTGGGAGGGGAATGGCTGGTTGGCAACGCAGCGGATACATCGCTTGTCGAGGACCGAAAGCTGATGCCGTTGGTGCGCAGAGAGAACCGAGAAGAAGGCATTAGATCCATACAACATGTCCGGTAGTATTAACGATCTGTAAAATAGCATGGCTTGTTGCTCAGTTAAGCAGGAGCGAATGGCTTGCAGCGCCGTCAGTTTCTGGGAGGTCTTCCGTGTAATAGTTGCAACTTGAGTCTCCCACCGAAGCTGAGTGTCGAGATGTAGACCTAGATATCGAGCATTTGTGGTCTGAGCTAGGGGATTTCCATTGCATTCTATGTTAAGTAACAAGGGCTGCCTGCGAGACGCATGAAGGGCTAGAACGTGGGTTTTGGAGGGATTTAGTATTAAGCCTCTTTCTTCCAGAAAGTTGGCCAGGTTGGAGACTGAACGGGAGAGGGTTAAATTCAAGAATTCGACGGATTGACTGATGGCGTCTAGCAGGATATCATCAGCAAACAGCTGTGAGTGGGCTGGAGCTGTGATCTGTTCTATTTCCATTGTGTAGATGGAGAACAAAAGAGGACCCAGCACACTTCCCTGAGGAACACCACACTCACAGGGAGAGAGGGCGGACGACTGGCCATTGCTCAGGACGACTCGCTGACGGCGGTCAGTTAGGTAGCTCATGAACCAACTGAGAGCCGTTGAGGTAATACCAAGCTGAAATAGATCTGTAACCAAAATTTGGTGTTTGACCTTATCGAAGGCCTTGCTCATATCGACAAGTACAAGACCTGTATGGCGCTGCTGATCCGCTGCCTCCAAGTATCTGTCTACAGCCAATGTCAGGGCATCTTCTGTGGAGTGAAGTGGGCGATATGCGAACTGGTTTGCGGGGAACAAGGAATTTCCGGAGAGGAACTTACAGAGTCTCGTGTGGACTACCCGTTCTAGGACTTTGGAAACTATTGGTAATAACGATATTGGTCTATAGTTCTTAGCGACAGCTTTGTCGCCTGACTTGAAGAGGGGACGAACATCCGCAATCTTCAGAGATGCAGGAACAACACCATATTAGCATATTAGTGACCCGGTTGAGAGGGTGTGTGTACAGCATGGTGATTAGTGACCCGGTTGAGAGGGTGTGTGTACAGCATGGTGATTAGTGACCCGGTTGATAGGGTGTGTGTACAGCATGGTGATTAGTAACCCGGTTGAGAGGTTGTGTGTACAGCATGGTGATTAGTGACCTGGTTGAGAGGGTGTGTGTACAGCATGGTGATTAGTGACCCGGTTGAGAGGGTGTGTGTACAGCATGGTGATTAGTGACCCGGTTGAGAGGGTGTGTGTACAGCATGGTGATTAGTAACCCGGTTGAGAGGTTGTGTGTACAGCATGGTGATTAGTGACCCGGTTGAGAGGGTGTGTGTACAGCATGGTGATTAGTAACCCGGTTGAGAGGGTGTGTGTACAGCATGGTGATTAGTGACCCGGTTGAGAGGGTGTGTGTACAGCATGGTGATTAGTGACCCGGCTGAGACGGTGTGTGTACAGCATGGTGATTAGTGACCTGGTTGAGAGAGTGTGTGTACAGCATGGTGATTAGTGACCCGGTTGAGAGGGTGTGTGTACAGCATGGTGATTAGTGACCTGGTTGAGAGGGTGTGTGTACAGCATGGTGATTAGTGACCTGGTTGAGAGGGTGTGTGTACAGCATGGTGATTAGTGACCCGGTTGAGAGGGTGTGTGTACAGTAGTTGCCACGAACTGGGAATCCGGCCACAACGCCTGCACAAATACATACGATGACATAACAAAGCCCTAAAAAATATTATAATAAAAAATTACTAAACAGCAATAGCAGCCTCTGAAACCGCCAGCGTGGCGGGAGGCTCTTGTTGATCCATTCTTTGTTGATATTTTCCAAATAATGTTCTAGACCCTCTAAGGCAAATTATACATGACCTTAGGAGGGCAAAGGAAATGCGGCACCTGACAAATGCCATGACATGTGAATATGGTTCATTACGTCTGTCAGCCAGCAGCGATGCGATTCTCTTATACAGGCTGGTTGCCGAACGCCCAAAACCACCTGACGCCGTCATAACTTAACCTCTAAAAACTACACGTAACGGGAGATTTGCACCGCGTTTTGAAAAAGGGCAAAAAACGTGCGACTTAACCGCTCTATTCTCGACATGCATACCCGTAAAATCTCGCCAGAACGCCCCGCCTCTCCTATCCGCCCCTCCCTGACTTCTTGTCAGGGACGTGATTGATTGTATCCTCGTACGATCATATGACTCTGTCACAGTCTGTGATACCGTACTGTACTGCAGACGCGTGCTCGACCCCATTGGAAATTATAGCAATAAAACTGCTTTATGGCAGCTTTCTAAAAAAAGTTGTTGTCTTCTAGTCCTGGGTCGACCGGTCCTTTATAAAATTGCTTCCAAATTGCCTTGGACTCATGGTAAAGAGGCTACGAGGGTAACCCTTTCCCAAAGGTGCTCCTTTAATTCGCACTTAGTGCTTTTCGCGTCCCTCAAAATATGCTGAAAAAGTGCTCTTTATTCAGTGAAAACAGGCAAAAAGTGCTCTTTTTCAGTGAAGAATATAGCCATGCAACATGTTCAGATATGAACCCAAGCTGAGAAATGAATACGAACTCTTCCATTTATGGGTCCACGAAAGGCAAAACAGGAAGTAAAGTAAAAAAAAAACCCACTTTTTACGGCATTGTGTACAAGCTTCACCAACTAATTTCTTGTTGCCCCCCAAAAAGCGGCGTGCCAAGGCCCATGGAGCACTCGGAAACTGTGATGGCATGCATGAGCAAACAGATTTTAGCACTTTTTCAGCTCAAAAAGCTCAAAAAAGGGCGATATTCACCAAAAACGCAATAAAGGGCGAAAGAAACGGGCTTTTCCAAAAAGGGCCAAAAAGGGCGAAAAAAGGGCAAGCACCTTTGGGAAAGGGCTATACGAGGGGAAAAGGTCTTCTCGCTTTTTATCCTGTGTGGGATTATTGTGAGGTTTTGTGTGAAATTTTCGGAAATCACATTTCGTTAATTTCTTACTTTTTAGACAGGCCAGTTTGGAAGCAATTTTATAAAGGACCGGTCGACCCAGTACTAGAACACAATAACTTTTTTTTAGAAAGCTGCCATAAAGCAGTTTTTATTGCTAAATTTCTTGTTTTTGATGTCACCAATCGACGAATGCCCTAAATGATGGCCTCTACATCATATCAATACCGTATTATACGCATTGATAATTATGCAAGCCTTTTCTTGCAGAAAATGGCACTTGCATAATCATGTTCTTGTGCATTGGAAACATGTGAGTAGTGGTGGTGATACTTTTTTTTTATACGCTGGTCATGCTGTTAGCCCTTTTCCAAAGGTGCTCGCCCTTTTTTGTGTCGCAGATGTTTTTGTTGATTCTGTGTTTATAATTGTAGTCATGGGTTTGTCGTGATAAGGTCATCGGATCTTCCCAAGTTGTACAATGTACTGTTGAGATACCGAATTCAAATAAATCAATACCATACCATACCATACCATAATATTGCACTGAAATCGTAATCATGTTAACGTCGATACAGCTCTTGGAAGTAGTTCAATGACTTCAAAGTGTTAGTCCACGATTGTCAAAAAACAACACAGCAAAGGAGGAAAAATAAACATGTTACGATGTATTTAAAACATGTTGACAAATACATTGTTGAGCCAGACACTTCGTCCCAACAACTACACTGATCCTGAGGATATACATGTAAGGGGCAGGGATATTATGGTTGGAGGTACTGAGAGATAA